AATTGTTAAACTATAACCATCAACTTTAGATTTGAGAAAGCTCGGAATGCAAATATTTTAAAGAAAGGTTGCCACTCGCTCTGAGAGTTTAATAATCTCAACTCCCCTTTTCACCACACTTTGCTACCGAGCCTGGTTTATATAAAAAAATATTTAATTATTATTAATTATTATTTATTTTTCGAATGCATAAGCGACTACTCTTACGTGGGCTACAGTGTACTCAGCCTAGGTAACGGAGTCTACAATGTGCAGCTTCTGAACTACCATTGCGTTTTAAAAACTCTTAAAAGAGTGATTTCCTCAGCCCAGAAAGCGCCCTTAGCGGGTTATTTGCGTAACTGTTGCGACTGCTAAAAAAATTCGCGTTTTTCAATTGTAAAACTTTTCGTGAAAGAAATTTTCCAGAGGAATACTTCCCTGGATGGAATTATGTTGAAGTTTGCTTCTTTTTCGATTCTATTTAAAAAAAAAAATATGCAATCCTTATAGAATAAAATGAATTAATTTTCTCAGTCGAAACGAGAACTCTCTCAACACTCCCGTGCGGAACACTTGCGGACTACCTTTTCATTCCATATTCGGTGCGCTCCGAAAAACGCTCTCTTGAGATGTTGCTATGGGAGCCCTATTTTTCGAGTAGCCACACAATTTTACTGCTGTGCAAATGAGTGAACAACGGTATTTTTCTTTTACAAAAATGCAAAAACTATTTTACAAAGAAATGCCATTGTTCATTCCGACAGTGAAACCACAAAACGTACAATTTCTAGTGCACCCAAACAGGCAAAAAAGGCAAAGACAAAGACAAAGAAAAAAAAAGAAAAAAATAAAAAAAGCAATAATGAGCACTGTGTCAGCATTTGTGGCATGTAATCCCAGAGATATTGTGACCATTTGGCAAAGCCGCAGGTAACATAAAATTTCGTGTTTTTCTCGTTCTTAGAACCGAAAAATTCATATGTCTGTACATTTTTTCATTTTTTTTTAACGGGTATGTAAGTATGAGACTTATTCTACAACTACATCTACTGCTACAGTTAGTGTGAATGCAATTTTGTTTTGCTTTTTGCTCTTATTTTCTCGCTGCCACCTTGAGCTGTTGGTCAACCACAATGTCCACAATGGCCACAGTGCGGAATTTAGATGATTCGTGGCATAGTTTGTTGATTTTCCTGTGAAATATGCGCTCGCCTTCTGTTTCGTGCAGCTGCTGCCCGGGACGAGGAGCAGCGAATGTGCGAATTTTCCACGGAAATAGTGTAATTCCTAAAGGAATCCGCTTGGATCTATTGCTTTTGGTATTTGCTTATTTGCTTTGTACTTTTTGTTACGAGGATAGACTGACTATTGCACGGAAATCTGTGCTGATATTGTTGTTTTCGAATTGTTTGGCATTGGCCAAACCAAAGAGCTCAAGTGAAGTGGGAAACCTGGAGTTCACCTCTATTTGTTTTTGTACTTCTTCCTCACTTTGTATGTACATCATTTCATTTGAGCTTAGAGCAGTAGTTTGAATATTTCTCATTTTTTGTTTCACTTTTACTGGACTTTATATCTCACCGACAGTATGGATGGACAGTGGTTTTAATTTCCACCGAAGAAAAACAAAGCAGTTCTCGTACTTTCTTATCATGCCATTCGCAGATTCGAACGGTTATGAGAAAAACTAATTTAAAAACAATAAATTCTTTCCTATAACTACCGCAGCAGATTAGTGAGCGGTCCACGCTAAGTAATTAGTTCGAATTTTGGGTGGGTAAACACACGAAATGAAAGAAAAATTTTTTCTCCTCAGATAAATCTATTAGCTATTCTGGGGCGGCTTAGAAAAAATAGGGATGTTATTAGAGTCTGATCGGACTCTTTGTTCTTCATTCCTGTAAAAAGTTATTTTGCTTAAAAATTAATAAAATTTCCTTGTAAGGTGTGTTGGTAAAGGCCGCATTTTTACTATAAAAACGGTAAAAGCAAAGAGAAAATTTACCAATAAATTTACTGTGAAAATACCTTAAGTGAACAGCGAGCACAGGGGAGGTTGGTTCAATTCCATTCGGAAAATTTCGACGTGGAAGATGCATCGCGTTTTGGTGGGTCAGTCATTAGAAAAGTTAATGAGGTTCTACCACTGGTGGATTAAGACCTGTATCCAAGCTTTCAACACACACGCGACAGCTTTTCACAAAGAAACTCTGTTGCAACAATTTTTACGCCTTACTTTATTCTTTCTTCCTTTATCTTGCTTTCGAGCGCGGTAGAGGCGGTTTATTTTTTTTTTTTTTTTCATTTGTCCCCTTTCCGCCGTCACTTTCTCTTCTACAAACTAACTCACTTTTTAGTTATCAATAGTCAGCATCGATCACTAATAACGCAGAGCGATACTACTCCATGAGTAGTAAGATCAGCGCCGTAAGGTGTTCAAGATGAAAAAATAAGGATTTTTGGACTTATTTTTTGCGGTCATCTCAGCCTGAAGAATCGTTGGCTTTCATTTTGCTGCCGTTGCTCATTATTTTAAAAAATGTATCGAAATGTAGTCTGAGCTAAATATTTCATGTTCCTTCTACCGGATGTTGGTCGAACCAGGGCTAGAACCTTCCCTTACAGAAAGGCAATTTTTTATATTTAATTGGTTTGTAGAATTAATTTGGGAGCTGCTGCTTAAACTGATGCTCAACAGCACAAAGAACTCAGGACCGCAAAGAAACTTTTCGAGATCTTCCATACCAGACGAGACACATATCATGTGAATTACTTAATCCACTCTTAAACAAAATAATTCGAGTTGCAGAGCTGAACAGAGAAGGCACAATCATCTATATAGAAGCAAAAGGTATGGTTCTGATAATGAAGGAGAACTAGACGAAGCATCTGCTGTCATCAGACAAACCGGCTTTTGTCACGTGGCCTCCATCTCACTGTTGAGTGTCATAACTTTGATATCATGGGCAATTTCGTCTAACTTCAAATCAATATTAACACCAACTACAATGTTGTACTGGAGATACAAAGGAAAATCGCTCTTTCCAAAGGAAAGTTGAAGTTCTCTCTTCATTAATAAAAACCAAACTCTGAAATCGCGCAACATTGACATCCTGGGGTAAAACGGTGCTGTGAGTTCTCGAAAGAAAAGTTTTTTAAACGATTTATTGATCTCTGCGCGTTGGAGAAGGCAAATAGCGCAGCCGATGGAACGAAGAGAATATTCAAGCTTTAAATGTATTCGATCGGATACTCGCTGGAAAAAGCATAGAAAGAGAAAGACCTCCACTTCGTTGCAAAGATCAGGCAGGGAGGACCTGGCGGCTGCAATTTATAACTCCATTCGGTGTCAAAAAGAGAAAGAAAGGAAGGAACGGAGTGTTGTTGTTATAACGGCTATGATTACGTACGCGTTGCCTACGCCAGTTAAAAAGACGATAGGGATTCAAAAACTATCCCGCGGTGAGACATGCCTGTCGTAAGAGGCGTCTAAAATTCAACAGTACCCGCAATAGTCAGGGCTGTAAACCAGAACAACCCGGATTTTCAACCAGCCTAGGACTGACAAAAATTACAACAACAGTAATTTTTAAATCGGCAAAATGACGAAATTTAAGAAGAAGAGTTTAAATTAATTTTGTTAAAATACTTTTGCTTAACATTAAAAATAATTTACCAAAATATATTTAAAACGGAAAAAAAAATCTACAGGCTCTTATATGGATTTTGTCTTTTTCACCAAAAGCACGAAGCATTTGAGTTATCAAATTTAAGTAAAATACGTTGTTAACAAATTGAATACTGATTTCTTATTAATCTAATGTGTAATTAGAAATTAATATCATATTTATTCAGGAATTGATTATCAACTGCAATCAATGTGCTTTCGCTGCCATCAACAAAGCCCGGCAACCATTGGATATAATTTAACAATGTACTGAGAAGATCTTGTATGTGTGTGCGTATATGAGCGCCCTGAATCGCGGAGTTCAATCGAAATATGAGAAATGGCTTGGCGGCAATTTTGGCAGCGCTTTTAAGTATTTCGAAATTTGTCATTTGAGGCAACTACAAATCAATTTGACTGCGTGAGACCGCAAGCCGCCAACCGCCAACCCTCAACCAATCGCTGTCGCTCCGCACTCCACTCCAAGCCGACAGGCAACATCGGCTGACACAGCTTGAGAGATTGGCAACAGCTGTTTGGCAGTTTTATCAACGATTTTCCTCTCGCTCCTATATGTATGCATGGATGCGTGTGTGTGTGTGTGTGTGTGTGNAAAAAAAAAAAAAACAAAAAAAAATAAATGCTTGTATTGTGCAAAAACAACAGATTTCGCAGCGATTAAATGTTTTCGATTTCGATTTTAATATTGCGAACGATGGATTAATTTGCTGCGACGGATATTAATATGTTTTCCATTGTTGCTGCACGTGCTTGTGGCTGGCAATTGTTATGGTTGTTATTGTTGCTGTTGTTGTTATTATTTTATTTCACTTTTTCGCCGAGCTATCGAACACTGTGACTTCTGGCGGCATGATTTTGGTGTCAATTATTTTTGTTGTATGCTAGAAAAAAAACAACAATAACAACAACAACAATTATTCATTCATTATGTGCCTCGCATACGAAATCAGCCAGAATTGTGGTTATGTCGGCACATTCATTTAAACCAAGTGTACATGCTGCACATGCTCGTACGTACAAACGACATACACACATACTTTGGGGTGATTAAAAAAACATTTCGACTGAAAGAAAAATTTCTTCCGTATATTTTTTTATTTTTTTTGTTTAAATTTGAATGGAACTTGGAAAGATACTATTTATTTTCCATTGGAAAGCTGATTTTCTCGTCAACAACTGAATTATAAATTAAAAAAATTTATAGAAAAACAACTCGAAGATAAAATGCAATTATCTGAAACCATTTTTGGCGTAAAATTCATGATCTTTTATTAAAAAGTTTTAAATATTAATTCAAAAATTAGAAATTTTTAAATGATCTTCAGCAGAAACTAAAGAAACTTTTTGCAAAAAAATTTAAAAATATTGCATAGCTACTGTTTTTGTTGTTGCAGCCGGTCTCCAACTCCGCTTACGAATAGGAGAGACTAGTCTTAGTCATCGAGGTGATCTAGCTGAAGGTCCAGGAAATGCTTGTTCATCGTGTCCATACCAAAGGGAAAGGGCGCTAGATGACTAGGTGGTGAGAGTAGTGTCGGAGGTCAAGTCTGAATAAGTTGGAATTAGGTCGACCACAAAATCCAGATCATAATTATGTCAGTATTATACGTATCTCTCGTTGCAGCTTGAAGTCTTGGTCTACAAAAGGTGGTGTATGGGTTCTGAGAATGTCGCTCACTGCAAGAGATTTCAAGAAGGTATTGACGGACTCTCGATGAATGGCGTTTAAACCCTGTCGGTACTACTTTCTGTCCAGCTGTTTGGTTCTTAAAAACTGTATGGAGTCTTTCATGTCTAGTGGAGTTCCAGCCCCAATTAATTGCACGTTGCGGTGTGCTTGATAATAGATCCATAGATATGTGGAAACCATGCTCCTAAGGTTGGTGTTTTGACACGCCCTCTGATGGTCTTTAATCTTACGAAGTCTTGAAATCTGACCTCGAAACTTTACCGATGACTGTCAACCACTCAGGTAGCTCACAGTTGAGCATTTCAAACTCTCAATGTCGGATATTAGCTTTGCATTGGTAAAAGTGTCAAAGGCTTTTGATAAATCCAGCGCTACCAAGCAGGTTTTTGTTAAAGCTTTGGACTATTTTGGGTGTTTATAGCATAAAGTGCGGTTGTGGTGCTGTGCCACTTTTCGCAATCCATGCTGATATGCTGCTGGGCTCATATGGTGTGTGAAGGATACTGAGATACGAAGATTGACCATATTTAATTAGCGGCACCACTCTGCCTATTTTTCGGATACCGAATGTTATTAGGGTGGTTATCGACACAGTTTGCGCAGAAGGTGGGTAACTTACTGATTATTTTTGTCTCCCAAATGGTGCTGTGTGAAAAATCGGATCAAATAACCGATGGACTTTTTCGGAATGGAATTTCCATAGAAACGCCATCGCTTCTCGTCGGGTTAGACAACGAGATAATGTAGCCCAGATATTGGTTGCCCCAGAGGATAGTTTGCAGGACCTTAAGTGCTCGTATTCTCCTGTTTCGCTACTCGTCTAATATCTTTGAAAATTTGCATTTCTCCATTTTTTTTTTACTGTTTGGCGACAGAAAGTTTGGATGGCCATAATTAAAACTATAATAAATGAATATATTCCCATGCATACATACATATGTATATATATATAATAGGCGCTTTGTAACTGCTGAAGTGATTTTCGGAGGAGCCTACTAGTATAAACTGTAGCCTCCTCCGAATGGCTGATGTTTTCTTTTTATGAGCAGCCTATATTTCATGTCAGAAATACACTCGGAGGGGGTTGAAATTCCCTGCGGAGGGGCGACTGCAATTAGAAAATTTAACTTAATTTTTTATTTAAATGAGTTTTCCATAACTTTTAGGATGTTTGTACGACACCAGGATTTGAACCCGAGCCTTCCGAATGGCAGTCCGCACAATTCGGCTACCGCGGCCGCCACATGTGTACACTTAATGATTGTAATTATATATGAGTATGTATCGCAATGCCAGCTTTTTATATTTCTTCATATTTTGGCTCCACAAAGTTTTCCGCAAGCATCGACAGCTCTTCGTTCGACTTGTAAATTTAAAATCTTATCGAAATGGAATTAATTGCCCGTAACCTGTGCGCATATCCTGCCATCCTGCCATCCTGCCGACGAACTTGCTTGTGTTGTCTTTAAGCACTTAAACATTAAATGAATTAAGATATGTGCTTGTGGGTATAAATTCATTTTCATGTAATTACATATACATATACATATATTATACATATATCTCTATAGTAGCTGTATGAGTGTATTGTTTTTCGTGAGTTGTTGTTATTGTCAATATTATTTTCACAACAATTTGCAATTACCTACGTACGTACATACACGTATAATATATATGTATGACTGTATGTGTGTGAGTAGAGCACATCAAGTTATTATCATTATGGCTTTTAAATTTCGCTTTTAATGTTCTTTTTTATTGGTTAATTACACTCATATATATATATACAATACGTACGAGTATATGTTTTTAAGCACCTTGCTCGATATTGTCCAATAAATTCAGCTGCAAACTTGTAATTACAACTGATAAAATGCACTTTAATGCCCAAAGACATGGTCGTGAGCACAATTTATGTGCATCATGTGCCAAAGCTGGTTTTAATTTTGCTCTTGCTTGTGCCAAAATATAAAGGAGAAACTTTTAATAATTTTGCAATTACGTTTATGACAGCCGAAATAAAAATTGAAATGTGAAACTCAAAATTGTTGAATTTAAAAACAACTAAAAACACCCAAAATTTTTGAAGTTTTAGAGACAGAATGAAAGAAGTTTTTTTCTGCTTAATTTAACCCTAGAAATGAGTTTAAGGAACTTATGTAATAAATTGTTGCTTTAGCACATTAATGGACGTCAGACTGCCAGATCCCTTCTTCGAAGTCGAGTTCGACTTGCAATGCAGGAAAAACCTTCCCTAGAGGATTCGGATTGTTTTGCAGTTACGACAGGTTCTGCCAGGTACTTGGCACTTCTGTGTCTTCCATTGGTATTTCAAAAGATTTCTTTGTACATTTTCGTTGCGCATTTACCAAGATGCATTTGTGAGGTGTCGTAATGAACTTTATGTATATTGGTTGAGCATGCAGAGCCCCATATTTGTATGGAATACATCCATATAAGCTTTATGACAGATTTATTTAGGAGGATTTTATGAACCAAACATAAACATGAATTTTTACCCTGTCACCATGCCGAATAGATAAATACCGAGACAAATAGAGCGGCCTTCTGAAGTCACATAAAAAGATGTCAGGGAAGCAAAAAATAAATTCTTGGACAGGCTTTTGCAACTGTATTGAGCATATAGTAGAAACTTCCCGTTTAAGGAAATACTCTTAGCATAGTTCGTTCCTTACATTGGATGCCTTCAGAAACCTGTTTCTAGTTGGCCAGTATCAAGTACAGAAAACTTATGTTTATTAATGGATACCCACTTACCATGTAGACAAATAAGCCTTGCTGCTGAATATAAGCCAGACACGGTAGGTGAGATAGACTCAAATATAAGTTATAGAAATAATATCAGATAACAATATCCGCACGGCAATAGATAGTTTTATGCCCTTTAAATCGTCTGGGCCAAACGCTATATTCCCGGCTCTCCTACAACAAATCCTGGGATCACATATCAATCTGTGCAGAAATTATCTCTAAGGGAGTGCTGCATGTAGCTATAATCCTTCGTTTTGGAGGAGGGTCAAGAATATAAGTAACAGAAGCAATTATACTTTTCCTAATAGTTTTAGACTGTTATGTCTATCATTTCTTGGAAAATACATACGAGTATAAAAAATTGCTGAAGGCCAGACCTATAGGCAGCAACACCACACGCATAATCTAAAGAAAAGTCCTTAGAAACGGCATTAAGCTCGGTTATCATGAAGATATAAAATTTCTAGAAATAAAGGAATTTCCACTCACAACCTTCTTTGACCTTGACATAAGATGCCTTGCAAAATTAATTGAACAACGATAATGCTCGTCCACGTTAATGAAGGATTGTGCCTTCCGACTATCACCTATTTCGGTCAATGGTAGATGCCCTATCGGAGCAGCTGTGTAATATGAAAACACCAAAAGTTTTATTCATTAGTGAATAGTCTTAAAGGATGAGGACTTCTTGCGATGGAGGGTCAGTACGCTACCTGAGAAAAAGCTATTACTATTAATTACTATTCTCTCATAATAAATTTTAATTACTTTCAATCAAAAACAGCATTTCTTTTTCAAAAATATAGAAAATATTATGGTTAGTAAGTGAGGCAATTGAAAATTTGGTCCTGACACTGTAATAGTGAATCTTCACGTCTGATACTCATATGAACAGCAGAAAAAAAGAGTTTGGAGCACTTGAAAAATTCTGCACACACAAAGAAGTTCGATGTATGAGTGCCACATGAGTTAACAGGAAAAAGCCTCATGCACCGCATTTCCATTTGTAATGGTGAGTGGTGACCAAAAATAGATCACATACGGTATTGTCAAATGAAAACTGTCCTGGTCGGAAGGCGGTGGGGCACCATAAAAAATCTGCAAACCAGTATAGACGCCCAAGAAGGTTTTGTTGGATGTTTGGTGGGTTTGACAGTGGATGATTACGAGGGGCGACCGCAATTAGGAAATGTAATCTCCTTCTCAATAGCAGTGCACACTGGTAACCATTTGGTACACTGCGGCTGCACCCCCACGAATAGGTCAACCGTATGATAGCTTAGTTGGCGGCCGCAGTAGCCGAGTGGTTAACATTTCGTAGTGCAATTCGGAACGCTCGGATTGAGATCTCGGTATCGTACTAATATCCAAAAAATTTACAGAAAAATTACGCTTAATTTTCTAATTTTCTCTTCTCATAAAAGCCGTTCAGAGGCGGCATAGTTTAAACTGCAGGCCCCACCGCCAAAAATCGCTTCAGCGGTTACAAAACGCTGACTTGGTTTTGTATATATATATATATTTGTTGTTGTTCATATTGTATATATAAACATATACATATATATATTTCGCTTTAAATACAAATCGATTGCTAAAACAAAACAAAGTCAGCAGACGAATTCCGAGAATTACAATAATATTGTTTTTACACATAAATCCACTTGGGAATATAACAATATTATACTCATTACAGTAATTGGACATCATTAGGCAACATCAACATGAGTTTAAACAAATCACCAATCGAGTGTTGTTGTTGTTGTTCATAATGTTTTTGTTTTTTTGCTACTCAATCTCTTCATCATAATTACCTGGACAAAATGCTTGGCAAAGTTGTTTTTAAAGTAGTTTCGAGTGCTTTGTATTTCTCAGCTGGAGAAGTGCACTTGAGCGCCATATTTTGTACTCTACACGAAGCCATTTTGCACCCCTGGTACATACATAAAACACTCATACGAACATTGTATTTGATGGCGTCGCTTGAGGAGTTTGAACGCCGAGTGGACACTGAACGCCGGAAACGCTTGTGCACATTTCAAATTAAATTGGCTCGAAAGTTTTATGTGCGACCACCCACACGCTCATTAAAATATAATGGAATATCACTGTTATATTCTTGTGGTCATAAAAGCATATTATTGCCGAGATTTATTGCACAATGATAACTGAAAGGCGATAAAGAGAGGCGAGTATAACAATGAGAATCAAGTCGGCGCTTGTTTGAGATTTCAGGTACAAAACTCATTGTATCTTAATGTGATAACGTGTAGAGAGACAATGCTCGCCTTTAAATCACAACTTTAAAGCAATTAAATTGAGTTTGGAAAGTTAGATAAAAATAAACTTAAATGCATATCTTAAAATTTCCACGCACAATGAGTCAATCATTGCAAAATCGAGCTAACTTTTCGCTTCCATGCCATGCCTTCACACAGTAATTATCTGCTCGCTTAACCTTTGCCATCAACTATCTGTACCATTGATATCAGTTTTTCAGTTATTCAGGTATCAGACTAATTACACGCTTGGCTGGCTTGCCGGCATAACTTTGATGGGATGTGACGTTGTGTTAAATTTGAATTTCTCGCTTTGGGCAGAGAGCTGCGGGCAGTAAGACCGAGTGCAGGTGGAGGTGCGCGCGTGGGAAAGTGTATGAAAGTTTTTCGTTTTCATTTGAACTAATTTAATTAATGAAAGTTATTGTTGCCTTACTTCCGCCACTTCTTGGTAAGGTTTGAGAAGGCTGCGCCTACGCACCGTACAGCAATTCCAACTGCAGCTCTGAATTTGGCGAGCTAATTGACTTGCAAGAGTTGCTTCCGCCACTCAAAAGAGCCAAATGCATCAACGCACAGGAAAATGTGGCGGCATTTACTATTTGTATTAATTTCTTAATTGTTTGATTAATACGAATTTCGAAACACTTTTTGCAGAATACAGCTGTACATACATAAATAGAACTTTTATGTTATTTATGATATTTGCATAATTACAGTTGCCAGGAATTCAAACAGTCTGCAAATTAAAATTCGAAGGGAGCAAATTAATTTCAAATGCATACTTTTACTTTGGTCTGTGTTTATTTTTAGACCGTTAAAATATTGCAGTTTGTTTTGCCCCTCAATGAAAGATCACCGGTGCGTATACGTAATGCAAGGTTTGAACGTTTATTGGGTAAAGAGAAATCGCTGCTTC